TGTGCCGCGGGGCTGGGGTGTCCGTGCGGCTAAAGAAACGTGAGTCAGCAAAGCCTCCGCCCTGGGTCCGGGCTGCCGGTGCCGCCCTCGGGCGGGTCGCGGTTCCTCGCCGTTCAAACGGAGATCTTCCGCTTGGTAGAATGGCGCTTGTTTTGAAGCAAGAAGCTCAGCCGCCTGGCTCTGCCGTGGTCCTAAAGCGGCCACAGGCATCAGAAATAGCTGTGGCTGCTAATAGTGCCTGAACTCGCCCCGCGTCTGTTACCAAACCGTCCTCTGTTCTAGCGGTAGTAGTGCGCCGTTAGGCTAGAGCTCCGGTCTGTCTCTTGCTAAGGTTTTCACAGTTAAGTACGCTGTTAACGCTGGCGGTATGCTACAGCCATGGTGGGATACAGGCATTGGGATGCTTTGTAGATTAGGCCACACTTTGTGTATTTGGAAAAACATAGTAAAGTGATTCGAGTTAAAACTGTTACTGCTTATTCTGGTATTACTGATAATTGTTGGTGAATGATGTAGAGAGGTTTGCTGAGTGCAAATAGGCTGTAAGGCCAAAGTAGGCATAAAATGGAAAATGCCATGTAGCTAAAGAAAACTTAGAAAATAAAATGATGAAGCATGTTTTGTTTTTTTGGGTTTTTTTAGATAATGGAGTCTCATAGCTCTATCGACATTCATGAGAGTACATCATCAACTTCTGAAAGTGAAGATGAGATTGAGTTCGTTGGAGTAAGTAGATCTTGTACTGGGAACATCTGCTTCTTGTAGTAAATATGGTCTCGGTAGCCTGATAAAATAGGAGGGAGCCTTTGCGTACTGTGTTGATGATGTTGATTGTATTTCAATGGAAAGCATTACTTCTGGATTTAAAGATAATTTAATTTGTAAATCTTTGTGGCAGATAACAGACTTATCTACCCTTTCTTTGGAAGGGTATAAGGTGATGTCAATTGGTCCTATAGAGAGAATATAGACTTAAGTATCCTAGCAGGTGAGTAGAGGGTTACAGTGATCAGTGAGGTACATGAGAAGTCATTGTAGATAACTTTTCTGGTAATCGTATTGCATTCAGTCCCACTGAAGTTAATGGAATAAAGCACTGCTTGCTCTGCAAAATGATTTCAAACCCGCTATACTTTGTTTAGAAGACAAGCGAGGAAATAATGGGTTAGAGGCCTTAAACAGTCTTCTCAAATTGTGAAGCACTGAATAATAGCTATAGTACAACACTTAGTCTAATGCAGACATGTGGCTTATGTGAATGTAACTTTAAGACACTTACATCTGTTGAATATCCAAGAGAAGCAGAATGTTTTTCATGCTGCCTGTGTTTTGGCCTCAGTCTGTCATCAGTGAAGTGGCGTTGGGTGGCAGGGATACGTGCAAGAACGGAAAGATGATCTTCCCGAAGGAGCATGTCATGTAAATAAGTGGTTAATTGATGCTAGAACTAATAATGGGTGATTTCCTATGGATTTGTCTTATTTTTAATGCTGAACAGTAACTAGATTTTTTTTTTGTATGGTGTTTGATTAAAGCTTATGTTCAATGTACAGACTTTTTCTGCAGGGGTATTTAGGTGCTCAAGTATGAAGGACGTATATTTTTGTGAAAATTTTAGGTAGTTGATTATCTCTGAGACTTCTTGTCCTTTGAGTTGATATGGTCAAAATTGACTAACAAGTTCAAAGTTCATTATATACACACATAAGCATCCATGTGTAGCATGACTGTATAAGCTTCATTTTCCTGAAACACTGGGCAAACAATGAGGAAGCTACTATAGCTTTGGTTGAATGGCTGCTGGAGCACCAAGAGCAGCAATTGAAAGAAGAGAGACTTAGTAAATCAACACTTCTGATACCTCTTTTTTCTTTTTTTTTTTTTCCTGGTTTCACCTGTGGATAATATGGAGCCTTATAGTCCCAGTGATGATTGCTTCTGAGAGAGTCTGCTATGTATAGGAAGATGACTGTGCTTAGGCTTGCTTGTGCAAGATTGGTATCTTGGGTTGAGGAGCTTACTGTTGTCACTGATGAATACAAGGGGAAAGGTGTGTGATGCTGGCCATTGCCTAATGTCAGCAACGTGTCCTTGGATCTCCCATTTGTTCCTCTGAGTGAGAGTGAACTTGGACTTTGCAAAAGGGTTTCTAAACTATTTGGCTAGCTTTAGGTCATCATTTCCATATAATAATGTGTATTGTTAGAAGTGTATAGGCTTCATAAATGTTGTCTATGAATGCTACCTGATCATCCAGGTACTATTTTCTGCACGTCCTGAGGACTCAGTGCACCAGGTGGTACCGTATAAATTGAATTGGTGAAGCCACTTGGATTTCTCAACTTGTGCTCATTTTGATAGAAAAAGTTGTAGGCCATGTGATCTCTGTGTTTTTCTTTTTTTTTTTTTTTCTTGAAAACAAGTTGGGTGGTTTTTTGGTGTGTTTTGTATTGAGATTGTTTTTTTGTGTGTGTGTGGTTTTTTTATTTCAATTGCGCGTCTTAGGGTGTTTGAATTCTTCTGTAGGACTATGGCAAAAAGTCCTCATTTGAAGGACCAAAAGGGATCTCCACTGCTGCCATAGTTTTTGAGCTTTTACAGTCAGATTCACCCTCATTCAGGAAACTTACAACTGTTCTTTGATGATTTCCTACCTTTTAATTCTGCATTACAATATGTTTTGTCCACTTAAAAATCATTAAATTCTAAATTTTGCATACCAGCAGAAAAATATAATTTAATCTACAACATTATTCCTGATGGCTTAATTTCTTAGGATAGGATAGTCTGGCTCCTATTCTGTTTCCTTGGGAAGTATAAGGCAAGAGTGAAGAGATTCACAGTATTAATGGAGTCTATAGCACTTAAGTAGACAGATTATTCAAGTTGCCACAGTCTACGCTGAAAGCATTGGACTCTTCCTGAAGTGGTGTTTTTTGTTTGGTTTTTATTTTTTGTTTGGGGTTTTTTAATGGTATCCATCCACTCATACTTTGTTGCTGACTAATTTCTTTAAAGATGAGGCTCATCATTATGATGCTTTTTTAAAAAAATGTAAATTCTGCCTGATAAAGCTGTTGGCTTTCCTACAGAGTAGCTTTTCTTACCTTTGTTACTGTATGTGGGACTTCAAGATAATACGTAGTTTTAGAAAGTATTTTAATACTTCCTGACTCCTCTGTTATGTTACAATGGTGAACACTGTTAAGGAGGATATTTGTGTTTATTTTCTGTAAACATTTGTTAAGTACATGTAAAGATAATGTATCCAAAATAAAATTCAACTGGAAAATTGAAGATCTATGTATTTAAAAATTACTTTCATTTTCTGGTGTAATGTTACATTTATGCCAAGTCTTTTTCACTGTTGGTGATTTTTATTTCAAAAGTATGAATTCAAAGAAAAACTTACTTCCATAGGCCCTGGCTTATTCAATAATGAGCTCTAAATTTAATTCAACTTGAAATCCAAGAAAACCAAACATACTCCGTATACTTTGTAGCTTTTCCTTTTTACAATGTTTTGGCTGCACTTCATGAGAAAAGACAGAGTCCCTTTCTGCCCTGGGGGAGTTGGAACAGCCAGTTACTTTTTTTGCAAACAGATGTTTAAAAATTTGGGGTTTATTTCAATCCTGAAGAGGACTTCTGGATTATTTTGGGAACTGATGATACTAGAAAAATTGGTTTATTAAAAACAATTGCAGTTCTTTGAGTTCCTGCAGAGGTCTTAAGGAAAATCAAAAACTTTACCTGTTCCTTGTAATTATTGTTTTCCAATAAAAATAAATATTTGAAGAACATTTGGCCCTGGGATGTACCAAAATCAAGTTATTTGCTGAAACATGATAGTTACCATTTCAATATTTTGGTTCTTTCCCCCTGAGGTGTTAAATACTAGATATATAGACTCAAATATTTGTCTTTCTGGAACAGAAGAAAATTGTAGAGGTGTTACGAAGCATCTCTGAAGCAGGACTTCTGTTTTTGCTCACAAGCTAGCCATGGACTTGGATTTTTGTATGTGCTAGGTTACAGAAATCCAAACTTTCTAAGTGCATCTTGGTTCACGATGTTGGTCAGTTATTCAGCAGGCTTAAAGTTGGAAGTCTTCTGGGACAAAGATTTAGACCGCAAATAATACAATTTATGTCAGATTTTAAAATTTATTTTAATTTAGATTTGTTTCATGATAATTAGTTTGTTTACATGTGTATACACAATTATGCTCACATAATTATTTTGTCAAAGATATGTTAAGTCTGTGGTGTCAATGTATATTGAAAGCCAGTTTCATGCTTTCTGTATGCTAGTGTGTATACAAAGCACAATTAAAGTTTTGCATAATTGTAAGTAAATGATATTTTTTCTGAATGCATGTAAAGCTGAGCAAGCAAACAAAAACCTTACATGATGTATCAGTGAACTAGGTGTCTGTTAGCTATGCATGATAACCCAAAGACTGACTGAAATGAGGGAGGGGAAGAAAGTGAGACCACAGTTTAGGACTTTTTGAGAAAACTTCTGGAGACAGTAAAAATGAGCTTCACGGAACTCCTTGAGAAGAAACTGTCCTTGGAGATAAATATGAGTCTCCATCTTTACCAGCCACCAATTAAATGGACTTGATTATATTAACTGTTAGAATTGGTATTTTGCGTAGCATAGTGAAATTAGTTTTGTTGATTTAATGCTAATGCTTTCAACCAAAGCTATGAATAACAGCAGACACACCACAGCTGCCTGAAGACTCGAAAGATGCTTTTCTATCAACTAAAACCTAGAAATTCTTCTAGTAACCAAAATAGCTGTGATTTAGCCATTGGTTGATTGCTCGGTGGTGTGGCGGCTGTTTGGTGAGAAGTGGCTTTCAAAGATTGTTTAGAGAAGTCATTGAGAAGTGGAGTGTTGTTTTTTTTTTGTTTGGGTTTTTTGAATGTGAAGGATCTGCTTGCAAGATGTGAAGACTGAGCATATCTTAATACCAAGCATTGATGGCTCTTTGAGTGCCAAGTATGCTAGTGTAGTCAGCTAGAGAGGCCACAGCTGTCAGCTGTTTGTTGAGTGCTTATCCATATTGTTTCTTCTGTAATCTCAGGCTCTTGTGTGCCAAGATACTTTTTAGCTGGTGGTGGTCATCTTGGGGGGAGATACTAAGACTTGGATGAAGCTTGAAGCTAACTGATCCTCGGTTTCTTAACTCTCCTACAGTGATGAAATCCTAAGGGTTGGCACTATCTCTGTATTATGTTACTATTTAGTTTAACCAGTTGGAAAAAAAATGACGTAATTAAACTTCTCTTAACTTTCAGTTTGGGGCTCAGCCTGTGCAGAGATGAGCCCATAGAGCGAAAGCTGAGTTCCTGCTGTTGAGAACTTTCCCACCATGTGGTACTGGAGTATTCACTGGGAACGTTTACTAGCAATACCTGCTCTCTCTTGCTGGAAAAAGGATGTGTTTCACCTGGCACTGCTTCTCCAATCAAGATTAAAATTATAGGAAGTCCATCTGAAGCTATGGCTTGCATGAAATTCTCAGAAGGCCTCTATGAATGTTTAAAGGGTAGGGGAGTCCTAGACTCAGTTTCCCTCTGTGAGGAAGATTTCTATCCTGGGCCACTGAATAAAGAAGCTTTGAACTTACACTTTCATTTTGGTATCAACACCTTTTGGCAGACAGAAGCAGTGCTGTCAGGATGAGCCCAGGCTGAAGTCGCTGTCTCTTTAGAAATAGTATTTGGATACTTCTCTATGTAATGGCACTCAGATGGGGTCGATCTAAACCAGTGTCGTGACATTTAGTGATGACTTTCAACTAAGGTTTCTCATATATTGGTGTAAGCAGTTGCTGAGTGGATATACTTGGGATAGTTTTATACAGTTTTACCGAATTCTTATGCTGTCCCAAAATAGTCTTTTGTAGCACAGATGAGTTCTTGATCAGACACAGGATTGTAGTTCTTATACTTTTCAGTATTTCGTTTTAGTCTTCATCTAAGTTGGTTAAACTACCTACCAGTGAAACACAAACTAGCCTAAATAAATGCTACATATAGGACTTGCATTATTATTCAGGAGTGTATATCGGCAGATGATGTGATGGTTTGTTTTGGAGGGTTTTTTCTTCCTTTTTTTTTTTTTTGTGGAAAATAAGGGTGTATATCTTTGAGTAGTCATTTGAAAGAATTACCATATTGCATTTGTGTTCAAATTGGAATGCAATCCAAAAAGTAGTACACAAAAATTGTGTACTAAGAGGCACAGAATTCAGAAGGAAAAAACATTTCATGTGTGCAAACAAGTGTAATATTACTTGTGTCAAATGGAATTTACTGTTCTGGTCACTAGAACTTCCTAGGCTTGAAAGCAAGTTACTCTGCTTTTCAGCTGTCAATTTCCTAACTTTTAGTTAGTTGTTGAACCCAGGGAGTAAGTAAACAGAAACCAGGAAAAGAAGCTACAGCTGTTAGGATCAGAGTTGAACATTTCAGAACACCTTATTGAACTGATTGGACAGTCAGGTGGTCTGAGTGTGACTTTGAACTGGTACTTGCTACCACTTGTTGTTTAATAAAGATTTGATTTATTGTTAAGTTTATAGAGGTCAGTTTTTACAAAGGCAAATGTGATTATTTATTTAAGATTTCATTTAGAAAACCACATTCTCTTTATTTAATGATAAAAGTTAAGCACTCTTTTGGGGTAATTTGAGGCCTGTAGCTTGATTCATATAAGTTTGTCATCTGTCCAAGATCTCATCCCTCTTCCTTCCCAGTGAGACAATGAGGACTGTTTATGCCTGGCCAGCTGAACAGCTTTACAGCCTTGAAAGGTGGAAGAATGTGAAGAATGAGATTCAGTAAGAGCAGGGAGAATTGCATGCTGCTGTTCTCTGTGCTGCTTCTCATGAGGCAATAAATCTTCCTAGCCTGCCCTTGCTGGTTGAGTGTTAAGTTCTTGAGGACACTGCCAAATATATGGCAGAGATGGTAGATAAAGTACTGCACCTCTTCAAGAAGTCAGTCTGCTGACTATTTTAAGTCCTCCTTCTGTTGGAAAACTTAGCTTTCTAAAAAATGAAGAATATCTTTGGAGTATGTAACGGCTCTGTGGTATCTGCCAGCAATATTGCTAATGGCTAATACTGCAGTTTAGTTAAAAACTGTCATATGATGTAGATGATATTGCATGTACAGACTTTTAAAAAAAAAACAACCACCACCTCACTACAAAAAACTTAAACTATCTTTGGTTTTGGTTTATTTACTCTGAGGTTAGATAATAACTTTCAGAATTTGGATGGAAAACTGTTTATGGCACATGGAGATTTTAGTTAACTTTGCTTCTGACCATGGATGTGAGTTAGGGTCACTAGGAATATTTTTGTTTGGTGTATGTAGACTTTGTCACCCTGTTTCCTACTCATGCTGATTATTTAATTGGCATGTGCTAGTGCTGTAGCATGATAGGGGTTTTTTTTAACCTGACATCAGGTTATGTGGACATAGTGCTTCTTTTTTTGCCTTTAAAAACTGAAGAGTCATGTTGCAGTGAGTGTGGATGGAGCTCCAGACATTATTTTGTACATCTTCTTTAAAAAACTTATGACCTGTGTGTTTAGTTTGGGTTTGCTGATCCTAATTTTTCTTCTGTTTGCTTTTTCGTGAATGTGCCATCATTCTGCTATCTACCAGAAGCTTGTAGTAGAAATGTTAAAATTGGTATGAAGAGAGAGTGAATGGCTTAAACCATTAAGATGATTGCAGAAGACAAAGAATAGGGTTAGAGCCTTAAGACATCCTAAGGAGGAGAGAATAACAATCAATAACCTTTAGTGACTCACAGAGGAGGTGCAGTGTGGAGACAGGCAAAAGATGGGAAATATGCAACAGGAGCACATGGCTGCCAAGCCAGGTAGAATAGAAGAGACCGAAGTACTTGTTGATAGCCCGGGTCCTTTGTCCTCCATATGGCTGCATGGAGTCCTAACCAGGCTTCCTGGATGCCCATCTTAGCAACTGAATGCTTGGCAGACAATTTGGACATGTGTCTTTGTGCTTTTGAGTATGTGGTGTGAATAGGTGAAACGTGTTTTCTTTTAAAATGAGCTCCCCCCTCACTGTGATTCCAATACAGAGAAGACACTTGTAACCTGCTTATGGAATATCTGCTCAGAAAGGAGTAGTCTTCAGGCCTTAAATGTGTATGAAACTGGTTCCCACTTTCTTAATGTTTGAAATGCCTAAAGTTTGAAAGTTTAATTTCTTTTGGAATTGAAATTTGTGTCTTTTAAAATGAATGAACAAAACTGAAACAAAACAAACCTGGAAAAAAACAATGAAAAACCATTTAGGATTGGTTAGTGACATCTAAGACTGTTACTCTCTTGATAACAGCCTGCTGCCCTATTACCGTTGAAGTAATGGTGCAAGTTAAATATCTTTAAAAATGTAGATCTAAGTTGATTGCGAAGCTGAAGAATATTAGGTTATTAAGCAAGCCAAGACTGTTCATTTGATTTTTTTTTTCTAGTTGATATTTACATGTTAAGTTATTGTCATTATTTGTGAATACTTACTTATTTGCGTGTTTTAACAATTTTATGGATTAGTCTAAGTGGAAAAGTTGCCCTGCAGAAATTTCATTGCTAGACCTTCTCGAAAACTTGGTGATATTCCCTGTCAGATATTGCTAATGCTGACAACGTGCTGTACTGCATGCAACATTTTATCTCTGAGGGAACCAGTGTAATACTTTTGTGTGTATTTTTAACACTTTTTTTCAGGAAGGACCTTTAAGACCTGTGCTTGAATGCATTGATCTTGTCAGTAGCGAGGATGAAGAACCTAACAGCAGTTCTTACACTCATGTGAGTATGTTGTAATGTATCTCGGACATTCTTGGTTGAATAAAATAATTATGTCTCCTGTATTTTTTCCCAATCAGTTACTCTTCATGAAAAAGTCGTTAGCGGTCTTTTTATCAAGTAATAAATAAACAAGTCATCATTCAAATCTTTTGGTTTTTACCTGCTGTTGAATGAAAGGCAAGAATGCCAACACTTTTTTTTTTTGTCCAGAGCCATTTTTTGCCTTCTTGAAACGGAGTTACAACTTCTGAGTCATATGCTCTGATTCGACTCGTCCTGTGTGGAGCCAGGAGCTGGACTCAATGATCCTTATGGGTCCCTTCCAACTCAGGACATTCTATGATTCTGTTTGGCTTTCAGTGCTTTTAGCAAATGTGGCAAAGAAAAGAGAAGAAAAATGTCACTTCACAAGTGACCTCAGAAGTCAGTGTGTCCAATCTTTAGCCTGCAAATGTATCTGGTCTACTGCCAGGCCTTTTCCTTATAAAATGACTTGTTAGGAGCAGTTTATAGGTTGGAGGACCTTATTTTGATAACAGCTTGATCTTAACTCGGCCTCATTCTTCATAATCCCTCCTAAGAATGTATGAGTCAGAAGCAGGCTGGTCAGTTCGTGTGTTTTCCAAATGTATTGTGCCTACTCTGCAGGGCTTTTGAAAGGCATAGTGACTGAGAATGACTCTAATAGAGTTGATTTTGGCAGTAGTGGTCATCTCTTCGCTTTCATTTTCCAGTGTTGCAGCAGAGGATGTGTGTAATAAAGCTGGTTCTTAAGGAAAGGTTGGTTTTCTGTATATGACTCCAGTGATGATTGCTAGAGCTGATCATGTAGCAGGCGCAAATTACAGTGTATGGCCTATCCCTCATGCTAGAAAAAGCTAATGATCTGCCTTTCTGAAGATACTGGGCAATCTTGTCTTAGTGCAAGATCACTTCTCACTTTTTCAGATGGGCTGCTTGTTGGCTTTGAAACCTTTATAGAGTTGGTTTTGGCAGTAGTGGTCATCTCTTTGCTTTCATTTTCCATTTTGCAGCAGAGGATGTGTGTAATAAAGTTGGTTCTTAAGGAAAGGTTGGTCTTCTGTATATGACTCCAGTGATGATTGCTAGAGCTGATCATGTAGCAGGCGCAAATTACAGTGTATGGCCTATCCCTCATGCTAGAAAAAGCTAATGATCTGCCTTTCTGAAGATACTGGGCAATCTTGTCTTAGTGCAAGATCACTTCTCACTTTTTCAGATGGGCTGCTTGTTGGCTTTGAAACCTTTAGAAATTTTGTTTACCTACTTAGAAGAATTTACTTAATTTTTAATTTGTTGGAGACTTCTAGGACATGCATCACAATCATTAATGCCCCTTCTTGTGCTTTGGTGAGGCAAGTGTTGATGTTGAATTGCCTTGAATGTGCAGGTGAATGCGGGCTGGCTTGTTTGGTTGGTTTTTTTAACAGAAGTTACAGATCCTTGTAAATAGAGAAAACTAGCAAGGGAGATCATGGAACTTTAGGATCAGAGTATCTGTACTGAATTATATCCTGACGCTTGGCCATTGCTTTTTACCATGTTAGTGCTTGTTAATTAACAATTACCAAATAAAAGTTTAACTTTTCCATTGTAGAGAACTATTAAGCATAAAGATCACATTGACTATCAGAAAGAACGAGTTGCGTCAACTTTGGATCGTCTGGCACGCCATGTTGAAGTAGAGAAACAGCAAAAAGAAGAGAAAAACAAAGCCTTTAAGGTATTGGACCATAGTTCCTTTCAGAAGAATTGCATAATACAGGCCTTGTAGTCACAAGTGTGTTTTCACTACTAAGTAAATAAAAAGATTCATGAGCCAGACCTGGAACCAGCAACTAGAGACTTTTGCTTCTGGGGCATTGTTTGAAACACAATATGGACTTTGTCTCTTCAGTGGCTTTTAACTGAGTAAACTGCTAGTCCTACTGCAGTTCCTAAGGAGAAAAAAAAAAAACAAAACCAAAAACCACCAACAAACTAACTTCGTGCAAGCCAATGGCAAAAACTTGTTCTCTTGTTTGCATATACAGCAGAGGGACCTTAAATCAATTATTCTGGTTAAATAATTTAAAAATAACAGTTATCACAAACAACCATGCACCAAACCTGATTATTTACCTGCTTTATTCTAAGATTTTTGGGAAGCTGTTTGCCACGGATATAAATCTTTATATCAGGCAATATTCTATAATGGGATAAAATTTTCTATATGTAAGGCATAATTTTAAATTTGAATCCCATTGTGCAGCCATTTGAAAGGCATGGATTTTTAATTTTTGTGACAAACTGGGAGGTGCAGTCAGTAGGCTTAAGGGTAGGTCTGCGATCACTGTGACCTGGACAGCCTGAAAGAATGGGCTTACAAGAACCTCATGAAATTTAACAAATTTGGGACAAATGCAAATCCAATATTTGTGGAATATGCTGACTTTCCAGCCTGATTTTCTGAATGCTGTTAATGGCTGTTAAAGTCATGTAATTATGCTATAGTTTCAGCTTATTTTAGTGTACCATAGACTATGCAACTGTAATAAACAGAGTAAAAGGCTGTTAGATATAGTCCAAGGTGGCCTTGATGTCTAGAGGCCTACATTCCTCTCCTGTCTCCTCCACTTAGAATTTGGCAATGTGTTAATGTCTCTATATACAGTTGAAAAACTGTGAAGTGGAGTCTGAGAATGAAGGTTAAAAAAATCCTTTTGTTAATGATGAATATTTTCCTGCTGGACAGCTCTTCACTCCTCATCAGGTAATGCAATCTGCAGAATTAAAATTACTCTTCAAAGTGAAACTGCCTTTTCTTTTTTTTTTTTTTTTAGTGGACAGATAGACTCTTTGGTTTCAGTAACCATTTTGTGTTGTGGTTTGTTTTTTTTAAAATTCCATACTTTTTGTAATCTTATAATTTTAAATTCTTCTTTGTTCTGTACGTGCTTCAGAAACTTAAGTAGGTATGGTAAAAATAAATTAATTGACCTAAGCTGTAGCTTTTATTTAGGGCACAAAAATTAGTATTTTTTTATTTTTTTTATTGCTCTTACATTCTATCTTTATTGTGTTGTATTGAAGTCAGGTTGTAAAGGGGTTTTTTTCCCCCTTTATGTTTTTGTGTTGTTTTGGGTTTTTTTTCCCCATAGGTTTTGAGACACCCATATGCAAGTTTTGGTATACACACTTAATCTTGATTTTAAAAAAAAAAAAACAACAAAAAAAAAACCCACAAAAACAAACGAAAAAAAACCCAACCCACACTTGATTGCCACCTTACCTGATATGTTTTCCCCTTCAGGAGAAAGTTGATTCCCAATATGCTCATGGGTTGCAAGAACTAGAATTTATTCGGGAACGCAGCGACACGGAAGCTGCAAGATTATGTGTGGACCAATGGTTAAAAATGCCAGGTAAGAAGGAAACTAAGTTTCAGTCATATGTTTTTGAAGTCCTGCATTGCAGAATAGAACATCTGATAATTGTATTGAGCAATACTGACATTGAGCTTGCACGTGCCTCTTTTGTGCATAACCAAGTCTTACAGTATTAACTTTGCTAGAGTGTGGCATTTGAAATTTCTTATACACTCATTTCCATAAAAGCTATTCATCTAATGTTTTGCTGCTTAGAAAATGTAATATGCAAAATCTAAGAACCGCTAAGGCAATGTTAACTACTTACATAAGCAATGTTGCTAGAGGGAAAAGTATTACTGTTGCTCAGGAAAACGTCTACATAAGTAAGGATAATCTCAGGATGTTCAATCAATTTAAAATAGTGCCTGGAGGAAGGGTGTCAAAATGTTTGAAAAGTAATCCTAATAAGGATTGAAGAGACAGATTCTTCAAGTGAAAGAGCAGACTTACCACAGTAGGATTGCAATACAGTGCATTGTTAGTTTGCTTTTAAGAATCAATATAACTTCATTTTTAAGTGCTTTAGGACTTGTATGTTATTTTGTTTGTTTTCTTAAGCCTCTATAATTCAGATTCTGGTTAAATGCTTTGTTTTATAACAGGTCTCAAACCAGACACCGTTAACAGTGGAAAAAGGAGTATTTATAAGAGGGCAGGTCAGGCGCAAGTCAACAGCAGTCCCATATCTTGTCCTGTGATGCATTGCAACAGAGAGTTTGATAATAGACCTCTTCTCCTAGGTCACCTTCAAAGGTAAGGACATAGCGCAAGAGCTCAGCGCAAGAAATAATAATGAGAGCATATGCTTGAACTTAGGACATCAGCATCAAGTCTACTTTAAACTGCCTATAGTGACAAAATTCCATTTGGCGAGCAGATTAGTGTGTTACAGATTTTACATAGATGATGTGATGAACTTCCTGGTTGGTTGTTTTTTTCATTCAGAATTGATTTCTTCCTCTTGTTCAGCAATTTTTTTAATATCTGGGTTTTTTGAGAAACAAGATTGCTGTTCATCAGTTCTGTTATTTTTTTTCATCCAAACTTGGAAAAGAGCAAAAGGCTAAGGTATACAACTTGATGGTAAGATTAAAAAGATGCCCCCTAATGAAGGGAGAGAGGAGCAAAGAGTAGCTGTAGGCCAGGCATCTGTTCATAGCTGATCATTGCTAGTCAGCGCTCACTGTGTCTGGGGTCAGTTCCAGCATTATACTGCCTTTTAACTCGTGAATGTGTCATGGGGCAGATGGTAAGGAGAAAAGTCAAGGGGAGTGTTGTGGGTTAACCCTGAAAGGCAGCTCAGCCCCACACAGCTGCTCGCTTCCCCCCCCCCCCCACACCCGC